CTCAAAGCACGGAGAAGTATCACTTTCTAACTCTTAGAAAAAGTATCACTTTCTAACTCTTTAGAAAATGAATCATCACTCTCATCTGCGTTAATAAATGGGTCATTGACCATAAGAGGGTATTCTTCCTCTGATAAATAGCGCCTTTTCGCCATAATAGACTGGAGGTGAAGCTTTCCAAAATAAAAAGGAGAAGAACCGGAAATATATCTACAGGGCAATGCAAAATGTAACAGTAGTCCACATACTAACCCTAAAAGCCCGTACATAGTAAAGGAAAAAATAGAATAAAAAAAGGAATTGGATATAAATCAGACACGCAAATGTTTTCATTAGCACGCAGCAATTTAAAGAGCTCACCTCTGTTTACACTTTCCCTTCCCCCACCCTCGCAAGAGCTGATGAGTAAAATACCAAAGTCAAGCAGAATATATCAAACTCAAGGTCAGGAACTTAAAACTGTGTTCATTTCAAAAGTAATGGACATAGGATGCCATCTAGTGGCTTTCAGAAAAACGTTCCAGCTTAAAATGCGATTACTCATCACTCGTCCTCTGAATGCAATCTCTAGTAATGCATGGATGGGACGCCCGGCTGTAAGAGACGTTCTTAGGAAAAGCATATATGGGACGCCCGTCCTGAAAGGGTTAAGCAAAAATCGAAAGTTTCTGTCGAGTGCAGTCAAGAAGATTGTGAAATTAGCACTCTTTCTTCAACATTCACTTCAGGAAGAGTTTTGCTTCAAACTTTAGTGGTTGCTATTCAACATGAAGGAAAGAAACTTTAGTGGAAATCAAACTCGAAGAAGCTTCTTCGAGCGTGTTGATCGAATACTGAATCTGAATACTCCTATATTTTAAAATCAACAGTAGAATCTTTAGGAATAAGATCAGAAGCTCATAAAAAATTAACACATGCTGTGTTTGGAGGAAAGACATTTGACTGATATGAATCATAAATGTTATAAAATAAATGTTGAGAATCTGCATACTGGTTATAGCTGCAAGATTCCTGTGTTAGATCAGCCTATAATTTGTGGATCTATACCTAGTCTACAGAAAGGACCTTGGATATCAGAATTAGTTGGAAAGGGAATTTATATCACAGGTGTTGATTGTCTCAACCCACAGATTCATCTTTTGATAGGCTCAGACTTTGCAGGAAATATTTATACAGGAAAAATACAGAAATTAAGTACAGGCATTTTTGGCTTGGAAACACTGCTCGGATGGGTTTTGACGGGTAAATCGCCAACAACTAGAGGTGAAAATTGTATTGCTGCTGTTGTTACCTAACTCTTAATTCACAATAAAGATATCAGAAACTTTTGGGAATTAGAAGTCATTGGCATTACAGATCCCTTTGAATTGAAATCTAGAACTGAAATTGATAAGGTCATAAACGATTATTTTATAGCAAATTTAAGAGAAGATGCAGAGGCTGACTATTTAAAATGTTTGAAAGGTCAAGAAAAAGAAGTTAAGAAAGAAATGTCCTTTTTGAAGAAGTTTAGGAATGATCCAAACCTGGAGGAGAATAAGAAATTTTTAAGAGATTTTATTTTAGATAAGAAGTGTAAAGGAAAATATAAAAATGATGAGATTCTGACTTATGAAGAAACAGATATTGCAGCGTCAAGTGATGATGAAAAAGATATAAAAAGGCAATAATTGTTTGAATGTAAGTATATTTTCCGATTTGAAGAGCCGGATTCAAAATTCATTAAATGATATCCAAGGATAATTGAAGATTCTCTCGGATGCGTTTATAATAAAAGAAAGAAGAAGCATGAAGAATGCATTGAAAGAATATAAAGGAAGAAAGAGCAGAAAATAGAAGATCTAAAACATTTGAAAGATGGGAGTATTTAAAGAGAAAAGAACGTAAAGAAAAATTTTTAAAGTTGAAAGAAGTGCCTGGTCAAAATGAATTGAACCTTAACAAAAATGATACTGAAAGTGATTTTGATCTTGAAAAACTTGACCAGAAAATAAAAGAGCTTTTTAATGATGATTATTATGCTATTCAAGAAGAATGTCCCAAATTTCCATATGATGAGGAACTAGATAATGAAGATAGGGACTATTGGATTGGATCAAGTAAATGTGATGAACAACTTGAAGAAAGTTCTTCTGAAACATCAGGTGTTGAGATTACAAATTCCAAGATTTATTCTAAGTCACAGGTAAAGAAAGAAATGATTGAGTCAACTCACACAGGGAAGGATAAAGTTTAGAAAGAAATCCTTATTTGATAATATAATTCCTAAACCAGTTATGGATCCAGATGGCAAAACGTTTGATGACTATTTGGATGCGTGTAATTATTTAGATTATGAAGTTGTCGAGCTATAAAGGTGCCTTCTAGATTCAAGAACTTTAAAATAGACTTTTAATTGAACTTCAAAATGGAATTTTTAGGTTATATTTTAGATTAATTAAATATTTGTTTTGATAAAAATCCTGTTATCAAAAGGTGGGAGTATGTAAAGTGGCAACAGCTATAAAACATTATTTATTTTGGTAGAATAAACTTGTTTGGTTGTGTATAAATTTTTGAGAGATTATTTAAGTAGAAATAAATTGATGAATGGACAAAATGGTGTACATTTACTGTCTTATATATCAGAAGTGGTACTGTAAAAAAAGTGGCCCAAACTAGAGGACACCCTTGCAAACTGGATTTAAAGGTGCAACGAGAAAAGGGAATGGCAATTTTGACTGTAAAAATTTGCTTACAAGCAAAATCTATGGCAAAACAAATGAAATAAATAATTTCAAAGAAGAGCCTTACTGGTGTAGCAGATTTCTGAAAAAAAAAAGAAAAAAGAAAATTCTGTGCGAATTATAACAACAGTTGGGCAACAATTACCGATGGACTGGCCGGATAAAAAAGCATCTTTTCTAAAATATATAGCAGATATTATTGACAAACAGAAACTTCTTCCATCACAGGTAATAAATATGGATGAAACACCATTAGCTTTTGACGCTCCTGCAAACAGAACTGTTGATAAAATTGGTGCAAAAACTGTATCCATGTTTACGACAGAGCAGGAAAGAACGTCATTTACATGTGTGTTAGCTTGTGTTGTAAACGATGACAAGCTAAAGCTGGTGATTATTTTTAAAAGTAAAACTATTCCGAAGGGAGATTTTCCTAGTGACATAATTAGTTGTGCAAGCGAGAATGGAGGGATGTGCGAAACAATCGGGCATGAGATGCTAAAAAGGTTTGGCAGTGTTATAAAGGATCTTTTTTCCAACCAAAAGGGTTGTTGGTAATGGATTCCATGCGTTCTTATTTACTTGAGTCAACGAAAACCAGATGTCAAAAACTGTCTATGACCTAACGTAGAATTAGCTATAATTCCTGGTAGTGTGACAAAAATCTTACAACCATTAGATTTGTCAGTTAATAAATCCTTCAAAGCTGAAGTCCGAAAGTGATGGGAGTGTTGAATGAGTGAAGGATTGCATACATATACCAAAAGTGGCAAAATACGTAGAACATGTTATGAAGAAGTTGCAAAGTGGGTAGGAAGTGCGTGGAAATCAGTGAAAACATCATCAATAACAGCAGTTCTCAAAGAAGCTAGAATTATATCCTCAGAATAAAAAGACTGTAAGCTAAAAGGATGAATGTGACAATCTGAAAGACTAGGACTATTTAGATCAGGATTTGATAAATCGTTTTAATTCAGATAGTGAAGAATCAGATTTTGATGGCTTCATATGATGTACAGATTGCTTTAATTCTTTTTGTAAGTAAAATTTAAAATTTCCTTCTGTCATCCAAATTTAATATCTCGTTGTGATATTTTTTATAATATAGTATGTGTATTACAAATGTGGACTTCTTTAGTGGTTAAATATAAGTATATTTTCAAAATTTCTTACCTGTAATTTATTTTTTTGTTATTTTCATTTCATGCATTTTTCATAATTGTTGTGTTATATATCAGGACATAGATAAAGAATTTCTGTCTATAAGGTCCTTGACGATGTCATGCAAAATTCAATTTATTGCAGCATTTATGTTGGTGCAGCATTTCTGCATAATTTTAGTCTTTTTCCCTGCCATTTTTCTCAAGTGCGATGTTTACGCTGATGTGGCCTTTCTTTCGGAAATTTCAGTAATCGATTGCATGATGTACATGAAGATGTTAATGGTACTTTAAGAATAAATGGAAACGGAAGAAGATATAATGTTTATTAAAACAATATATTAACAAATGTGAAAAAAATATTTAATAATTAACTAAGCAATTTTTATAGAGGTAACCTCATGCAGTTATTTATCTTCTTTTTCATTTCTTTTTTAGACAGTATTTTTCATGAAAAATTACCAGTAAAATTTTATAAAAGAAAAGATTGATTTATTGGTTAACTAGATCAGTTTAAAATTCTATTTAGCGTATGTTGCATTAATTTTCTACTCATTTTCAATTTTTAAATGCTTAAGTTTCCTTCTTGCACTCTCAAATCAATATGTGAGTATGCATTTATTACTTTTAAATGCTGAAAAATGCTTGTCTGTGATGTTATCATCATGTGGTGATTTGCACATGCTTTATTTTTTACCACGATATTTTTGACGACAATGTTTTTAAACTGCAAAGTTTTTTAACCGCTTTATGTATGATGATATTTTATACCACCTTTTTTTCTTTGCTTTATTCTCTCTCATGATATTTTGTACCCTGACATTTTCACCTTGTGTTGTTTTCTGCATGATGATTTTGTCTGCTACGTTTTCATCTGTAACCGTTATTAATAAAATTGTAAATGGCATTATTTAAGATTTCATTAAAAGCAACTTATATAATGGGTTCCCTAATTTATAGCTTGTCTAGGGGCCTCAAGAAGTTTAATACAATGTTTTCGAATACCACTTTATATATTACATGTTCATTATCATGCATTGTTTTGGACTTTGGGCCATGAGTGCAGGGGCTGGGCTTTATATCTGATCTAAAATGTATTTATTATTCTCCGTAGCTCCTTCTAATGCCAGTAGAAGTCTGCCTGTTGGTATTGATGGTAATGAATACAAACATCATGGAAAGAACATCCTTAGTTTTGAAGAAATTTCGGAAAAGTATGCAGAAGCTATTGCACATTATGGAAAGGTTAGTTTAAAAACACACATTCTTTTCCTGTTTGGTAGGTTTGTCAAATGTTTCATAGTATTTTATTGCTCATCATTTCCTTTTCATTGCAGGTTTTTAAAACATACAAATTCTTAAGCAGACTGTTTTTAAAGTTATTACATTTGCTGTTTTTATGTAACATGTTTATTAGAGGTGTTTTGCTTTTCCATTTTTTTTTTTTTTTATTTCAGTTTGAGATAAAACGTAATTGCTATAAAAACGTTTTCTCCAGAAATATCCATTTGTATAATAATTTTGAAATGGTTAAAGTATGTTATTTTACCCTTTACTCCTATGCACAATAGGGTTAATCAAACTTCTCATCTGTAGGAGCTGCATGTTAAATTTCAAGAATATTCAAGAGCTGCAACTAGTTTTCAAAAGGCAAACATATATCAGTTTAAGTACAAAGAAACATTTGGAATAAATTAACACGGATTTCATGTTTTTTAATAAGTGTGCTTATTTATAAACATGAATGAATAATTCTTGTTGCCTGTAATCTTTATTCAACAAAATATGTTCCTATGATGCCGAAATTTTAAAATTTTGTGCATTGTTCTTGGTACTCTTTCTGCAGAGAGTAACTGGTTTAATTTTTTTTCGTTATTTTATTTGTCAATAGATTTTAACAGTTAACTTGAAGAGAAGTCACATCAATATAAGACTTTTCTTGGATTAAATTGTCTAGTTTACAGTGAAGAATAATGATGCAATTAAAAAAAATTAGGCCTAGGGAATTTTGTTCTTAACCAATACACATTTTACAGTTGTGAAGCAAGTGATTGAATTCAGAAGAGAACATGCCTAAAGTTTCAGACCTGAAAATTAATTTAAAGTTTTCTTCCATCTTATCGGGGGGGGGGGGGTTTGGCCTTTAAAAAAATAGCTTCATTTTCCACACACAATCAGTGTGCATGAACCAACACATGGAGTTAAATCTAGCCTTAAATTATATAATTTATTAATGAGATTCGTACTGAATCAGTATATATGTCTTTTTTTTCCAATGCAAATTACAGCTATACATAGTATTTATAATATTAGGTAAGATTTGAAATATGTCATTGGTATATCATAGCAGTTGCTGTCTATTCTAAAAATAGTGTCTCTTCAAGTACCAAAAATGAAATTAAAATTATAGTTGTCTTTGTGCAATTTAAAAAAAATTAACACTTTTGAAATTGGAAACTTTTTATCTACGTTCATTATTAGGTAACGGGTCAGTATAAGATTGCAAATGTTATATCTGTAAAAGATGCGTGTTACATGTAAGCAAAAGAGGATTGAATGAAAGTTGAAAATGAGCTTATCAGCACTGTCTTTTTTGTGGGTTTATCTAGGTTACATTGAAGTGAAGCACATCAAAGAATAATTGGCATATATAAAGAACAGTGAGAGGTAGTCCAAAGACCGGAAAGGTCAGGAAGACCTCAGCAGTTGAAAGACAAAAACTTGTTGAGAAGGATAGTAGAATGATGACAAGCATTTTGCAGCAGAAGTACCATAGAAGTTTAAGGTTGATATGATGATACTGGAAAAATAGATTTATGCTTCAAAATTTTTAATTAAGTAAAATGGATACTAAGGGGAGAGGAGAGTAAGTTTTCTATATTTTTGCATCAGATGGTAAGTAATAATAAGAATTTTTTTCTGCAAAAATGTCAGATGAGGCAGGATTTTGTAGGCTAGATAAATTTCCAAAATTCACTGCAATCAAAGGACTAACCCAGAATAGATTCTACTAAGTGTGGTGAGTTTTCAGAGGGTTTGGTAGGATCTTTTGAGAACTATCATTGAATCAGTCATTAGATCATTAGATATAGAAGTGTTCTACCAACTGCTGAACTGCTTTTCCAGTGTTGTGAAAGAAAAGTGCTTGTGGCTGTTAAACTGTTTGGGAGTTGTGTTCATCATTATAATGCAAGATCTCGCATATCTGTTTGGACTTGGAGGAAGTTACTACAGTTTGGTTGGGAGCATGTACAGTACCTCATATACAGTCAAAATTCGTTAATTTGGACACCCATAATTCGGAATGATCTATAATCCGGACCTCAAAGCTAAAAACTTTCTGCGCATGCGCATAGGCGTTTACGCGTGTGCATAAGACCTTTACAACTGTGCGTGTGCGCAAGCGCAGGATACATTTTCGCGTGCGCGTTTTATGTATAACGGACGGTATAAGCTAAAATTATCTAATTATCTATTTCAGTTAATGTTGATGATTGAGTTGTTCCTTAATCTTCGAGTTGGATCCGGCTTATTATTTTTTGCAGACTGTAAGAGCAATTTTATAAAAGTAAACTTGAACTTTCAAATATGTCAAATAGAATTTCCGATGCTGAGCTCCCAAAGGATCTACAAAACAAAGTATGTTTCGATGTCCATCAAACAAAAAGTGGAATTGCTGCAAAAAATAGATAAAGACATTAAGAAGGTGACAGAGAGGTTAGTGAAAACAAAAAAATTTCGATTGCCAAGTTAGTTGGTAATCTCGGCACAGCAATTACGGGACTTGAACAGCGGAACTTTGTAACTGAACAAGAAATTATGTCTGTTTATAGAATTAAAGAGAAAGTATTATCACACAAAACGAAGCAACTTAAACAACTTACATTGAAAGAAATGTTTAATAAAGTAAACAAATAAATATTAAGCTTTTTTTTTTTTTTTGTAAATTTTGATAATCATAATTGTTCATTTTGTTCATAATTGTTCTTTATTTCATAAATTATGGTTTCATATTTTTAATTTTATAATTTCTGCATGCCATCTTACGAGATTTAAACTGATGATCTATAATCCGGAAAAATCGATAATCCGGAATCGCTGAAGTACCGACGAGTCTGGATTAACGACTTTTGACTGTATTTACTGTATATTGCTTCAAGCAACTACCATTTATTTTGGCAACTGCACAATTTTCTTTGGCAGTTGCACAATTTTCATCAGACGACAATGTAGAAAGTTTTTGCAAAGGTCTATAAAAAATTCATATCAAGAGGGGGTGGAAATGTTATCCTATCAATGGCAATAGTTTGTTGACAATGGAGAACATGTTGCAGATTGAGAGTCAATAAATGTGTTCTAAAATTTAACAAAACTCTTTCATTAAAAAAACGGAATTTGTTCATATGTAATATTTGCCCTTTGTTTCTCAGTTTAAAAATAAGTGCATGAACTTGCATATATAAATACAGAATTTAATTAAAAAATAATTATTGATTGGTCAAAAGCTTTCTCATAGCAAAATTTGTTCTTCAAACCATAAATATGCATATAAAAACGTTAGAATGTAATTTACGTAAATTTTGCAGTTGTCACACACATAAAGGCATTAGCTTTGTTCACATATGTTGAGCAAGGCCTTAACTGTCAAGGAATATAAATTTGCAGATTCATGACTGCTTTTGTACAGATCTTCAGCTTCTTTGTTTTGCTGTGATTAGTAAGCTTATGTCATCTTAGCACAAAGTTGAAAGCTGAATACATTTTGACAAATCCTTATGCCTCCCTTTTTTTGTATGCAGCAAGGTCAACTGAACTTGCTTAGCAACAAAGTTTATGTTCTGGCACTTTTGGCCATAAGATAAAGTGTGAATGTTTCCTAAGGGACCAAAGAACCACGTGCACTTGCAAGCCATTGGCCATGCCTGGTATATAATATATGCTATATATATACACATGCATATATTGCAAAAGTCATTAAAAATATTTTAAAATTAAATGTTTCTAAGTTTATAACTGTAATTAAGTAAGGTTCCTAAATATAATTTACAAAAGAAAACATTTAAACTAACTGTAAAATACAGTGTTATTTGTGACAGTATTCTAAAGGAAATTTGTTCAATTTTCAATGTTGTGAAGTTTTTCTGTTGTTAATTGAATGCTTGTAGTGGAAATGTTTATTATGTGAATGCTGTCTGAGGTTGATTCTTCATTATTTAGAAGTCTTCTCACTCATAAATTTTTTTTGGGGGGGGATTAGAAATAGATCATTTTTGGGGAGTGGAGAATTATAGCTTAAGTTAATTACTGAAACAGCCACTTTTTCAATAACTCAGGTTGTTCAGTCACAGATCAGGCTCATTAATGGAAGTCTAAAATGTATGCTTAAAATAGAACAGCTTTTAGATTCTTTTGATTAGTTTTTTCATGCTGGCTGTGGAATGTTCTCCTTTGTATGATAGTGATGTCACATTTATATGAATTTTTGTTATGTGTTAAAGAAGTGATAGCTTCTTTCATTGTGCTTTGATAATTGCTTTCTTATTTTCTCCCGAATTTTCAATCATATTAATTATTTTCTGTTTTTTAACCAATTTTTTTGTTGATAAAAATCTGAAGTAAATTTTCTTATTATTGACTGAGGGGTAGCTATTTTTCATTGCAGCATTTACAGTTTAAGTATCTGCTCTGTAACTTGTTTGATACTTTTAAACCTTGTTGAACATAGCTTTTATATTTCCATTAAAATGTAAAGTAGTTAAATTTGTGTTTTTTTCCTGATGAAAAATATTTTGTTAATTTTTCATTTTCTTATCTATATGGATATATATCTATTTTTTAATTAATTATAAGGAATTTTATATTTCTTATAATTAAATGCTTATAATTAAGCACTTTATATGTTCATATAACAGTAAAATCCTTTGTAACTTGCACCCAATTAACTGGCAGTATCAACGCTTTTAAAATGCTCAATTTAAATACAGAATTTAGGCCTATGAGATATGAAAGTATATAGTGGGCTAACAATTTGAAGACTTAACCCTTTCTGGATGCCCCCCCCCAATCTACTGCCCTGTCACTATGAGACAGCACTGAGCTACCAAGATGTCTCTAGAAGACAACAGGTGGTTGCTCCCTAAGCCTAATTATGCTAAAAAATTTGGCAAAAATAAATTTTTATTCCAAACAAATCATTTTTTCTCAGCTTTACCTTTATGCTTGGTGAATTATGAACTTAAATGTGC